CAAAGAGACAAAGAATACCAGACGGTTGGAAAAAATTCCAAAGGGAGATGTTCGTGGCTATTTATAGAAGCCAGGGAAGAGTGTTTTCCCTCAAAGTCATTTAATGTTGCAGAGTGAGTGGGACACGTGGTGATCTTTGAAGCAATTATACAGACAAGTGATGGGAACGCTTGTCATGCTTTCCTAGGTTATAGGGATAATGGTCATCATGGTAGCATGTAACGGCTAACTGATAGTGACATATTAGAAGAAGTGTAATAATGGCTCTGATGTCAACAGTGGTTGGTAGAAGACGAAAAGTTTACTGTGAACTTATGTGACCAAGAAATGGACATGTGTCGAATAGAAACATGAAAGAATAATTATTTTTCCTTGTGTCGAAATTGACATTCTTTGGGGGGGGGGGGGGGGGCAATTTGTTAGCTCCTAAATTCGACACTCACACATATTGACCTTATTGGCTAAAAATAGATTGAAGAAATCCAACCTGAAGACACTTTGACATAAGAGCTTATGAAAGGAGTTGTGTCGAAGTCATCCTTGCTAAGAAGGAGGAAACACTTAGAGAATTTTCTAAGTTAAAGACGGTCTTCGACCGAGAGGCTCTTGTATCAGCAGCAAGTGAATTTGAATTTGAAGAAAGGAGGGAAAGGCAGTTCATTTGGCAGTTAGGAAAAGCAACGTGGCGTGAAGATAGAGGTCGAAGAGCATGCAGAGAACACTTGTCATCATCTTGGAACGAAGCAACCGTTCGAGAGTTACTTATTATTAGTATAAATATAGGAATTTTGTGTAGAATTTCGTGTGTTCAACTTATTATACAAGTAGGGATGTCAGTTTGGACCTGTTAATGGGGATCCCCGCGGGGAACGCCCCGTTCGGGGCCCCAAAGATGGGGAATTTTCCCCCGTGGGGGCGGGGATGGGGAGAAAAATTCCCCCGAGAGCATTTCGGGGACGGGGACGGGGAATACACCCCCCGCCCCGCCTATTATTTTAATATAGTTAATTTAATATATATATTTTAGATTAGGTTTTTTAGTCATTTCCTTTATGTTTATTTATAAAAATAAATAAATAAATATTCATGTATTTATTAAGAGAGAGAAATGTCAAATACTAGTATTTTTTAATAACATAATAAATATGTGAATTCTTTGTGCTTTTTATTTTTATAGAAAATATAAACATTTTAAAAAAATAAAATATTAATGAATAAATGTAGGATCTATGGGGATCCCCGCGGGGAACGGGGATCCGCGGAGAACGGGGATGGGGATAGAAATTCCCCCGTGACGGAGATCGGGGACGGGGACGGGGAATGAATTTGATGGCGGGGAAAAAGATGGGGAAGTGTCCCCCGGCCCCGCCCCGCCCCATTGACATCCCTATATACAAGTCACTCAATTTTATTCAAGTATCTGCTGTGAGAGAAAGAATATTGAGAATGTACGTTTAAATCACCATATTTTATTGCAATCAAAGTCTTTATATTTTTTTTACAATCCTTGTCATTTAACACTTTTTTGCAAACTTTACCATTACAGCCTTTTAAATTACTACAAACTTACTTTATGTTGCACTTTATTTACGTTTTTATCAAGTTTTTACCTTCATCCTACCTTTACTCTTAATATCCTGTCGAACCTGTTCATGAACAGCGTTAAGACTTCTTATCAAACTCCAAAAAACACTTAGCATATGTCATATGATCAAACTGATAGATCCTACAAGTAACTAAAATATCCCTTTTAGAATATCAACGGTTGTTTATCAATTTTTATGATAAACACTTCCATAACACTGCACGGAGGAAGAAACCTATAAAATTTGAAAACACATAAGAACACACAAAATTAAATATGGATCTTATATTAGAAAGAAGAAGAGAAGTGGTGTAGAAGCTTTACAGTAAAGATGAGAGGATAAGAAATGGAAGATGTGGAGTTAAAATAAAACGGATTTGGGTTTATTTTTACTTTGGAAGAAACACGCGTGATGAAGTATGGAAACATACATTAAATGCCTTTGTTCAGAATATTGAAAGTTTTTCATTGGAAAGATATTAAAGAATCATTATGGAAGATTTGCATTAAATTATATGGGTCATAGAAAACGTAAAAATTGACCAATTAGAGCAAATGCATAGTATTTTTGTTTGAAATGCAAAAAGGTTATTCTAGTCTTTTTCTTTAATATTTTATTTTTTTATATGAAATATTAATTAATACAGTTTATAATTTGATTAATAAGTTCTGAAAACATAAAAAATGTTAAATAATAAAATAAAGTACAAAAATTAATTAATATTTATAATTTAATATCAGAATATGATTAATATAATATATTTTATCAGTTAATGAAATATTGAAAGTGGTTAATGAATTATAAGTAAAATAATTGATTAATAACGTATATTTTATGATTAATATAATTATAAAATTGATTATGACACAATCATATATTTGTGTACTAAAATAAATATTAAAAATAGATATTTTTAAATTTTTTTTATTATAAAAATAGTATTATTTTAATAAAAATAAACTGTTACCATATAAATACGATAAATAGTATAAACAATATCAAATTTAGATGTAAGTTTTGGTGTCAAAATAGCACACATGTGCATGTATTTTGATATTTTTGTTGTTATTTTGTATTGTTGCAAGTCGGGAAGCTCAAGACACATGAGATGGTGCTAAATATGGGTTATTTTTATTATAAATTGTCATTCGTAGCAAAAGTGTGATTCAAATGATATGTTATAGTGATGGCAAATTGAATTGTGGTGTGTTGGATTGGTTTGCACACCCATAAAAAATTAGTAGGTTAAGTTGAGATTTTACTCTCGTCATCCATCAAAGTCTGTCCTATTAAAGACCGCTGCTCACCAAAACTCGCGTCGTCAAAATCTGCTGTTTGTCAAATTCCACCGCGTCTATTCGTTCAGTTTGTCCCACCTTAAACCCACATTTTTTTAGTTAATTCTAATAGGTCCAATTCTTGATCACTAAAAAAAAAAAATATTTGCGACGTGATTATCACGTCACAACCTCTAAAATCACATCACAACGTATTTTTTGCGACGTGATTAATTACATCGCAAGGGAGGTTGTGGCAACTTTTTGCGATGTAATTTTAATGTCATAAAGTTGTGACGTGAAAATCACGTCGCAATATATTTAAATAGAAATCACAACGTTGTAGTAGTAGCAGGCAGTAGGTCAGAGCAGCAACTTTTGTTGCAATGTGATTTTGACATCACTAATTTGTGACATGAAAATCATGTTATTAATTTATTTATTTTTTACAAAGTAAATTACAACTACATTGAAGGTTGCGACGTGATATACATGTCACAACATTGTGACATGAAAATCACGTCATTAATTCTTTTTTTTAAAATTAAATTTCTAAAAAAATATATAAATTAATAAATTAGATTAATAAATTAAATTAATAAAAAAATTATACTAAATATATAAATTAATAAGCTAAAAAAAATTAATATAATAAAATTAATAGACTAAAATTATAAATTTAACATATTAAATAGATTTAATTAGTATATTCTACAAATTCAAAATTAAAAGCAAAATAAAAATAAAATTAATTTAACGGATCATTTGGGTTGGGATAGTTGTCAATGTCAAAATTATTTTCGTTCCCGTCATCCACTAACTCTTGACCACGAATGTTTTGATTTCCACTAAACTCTTGCATAAATTGTCTCATTTGCTGCTCCATATCAGTTTGTCTCTTCGCCATGACCTCTATTTTTCACTGTTGCTCTTGCCTCAATGTCTCCATTTGGACATTCAATGTCGCCTTACGTTGCGCTGGCTCGCGTCTCGCCTGATTTGGCAACAATTGTCTCACTGTTTCACATTGTTTTGGTGTAAAATTTGGTTGACGTGACCCTCCTTCCTTGTCTTTAACTCTTTGAAATAGAGTTCTATTCCCACTTCTCAAGGTGCCAGCCAAATTTCCATCACCAAAAAAACAACGGTTAGACCCCTTTCCGCCAATGACTTTATACCAAATATAAAAATCTACACCTGGATAAACCGACTATCCCTCTCTCAGAGTATATTGAAGATTATGAGTCAGAAATTCTGCGAACAATATCTGATAATCCTCCTACACATTCAACAAAAAATTAAGTTAAATTAGAGAAGAACATTACCTCTGTAAAATGAAAGTGAAAGAGAAATTGAGATATGAGGGAATGGTGATGATGATGAGAAACAAAGAGAGTGTAGAGAAGGAAGAAGAAGAAAACAAATAAATAGAAATGAGGCAGTGTTGTTTCTGAGAAACAAAAAGGATTTATATAAGTCAATCAGCGACATGAAAATCACGTTGCAACCTTGCCACGTGATTTTCACATCGCAAATTCCCAACGACCATAAAAATTAATTGTGACGCGTGTACCCACCTGCGCCCAGTCAGATTCAACTCTTGCACCCACCTGCGTCCAATCAGATTCAACTCAGATTGTTTCATTGATTGCAATTTGAAATCTAAAATTTTCAAATTTCCCACCATGAGTACGTTACAGACATTTGAATTTTAAATTTTATTTCATTGATTGCAACATGGGTATCACGTCACAAATGTTTTTTTGAAAAATATTTTCTGACTCCCCATGTGCTAACATTAGTTTTTATATTTTATTATTAAAAATCATGTAGTGACCTGATTATCACGCCACAACCTTATTTTGTTTTGCCACATAATAATTACGTCACAACTTCATGTCGCGGGAGAATCCTTTTTTGTTGTGGATGGTTTTATTTTATACATTTATTTGTGAACATGTACAATATTATTTGAAGTAAATTTTATTTAAAAGATACTTTATTATTTGAAGTAAATTTTGAAAATTAATGTTTCTTCAACTGCAGCAAATCATTCCCAGTAAAAAAGCAATTACATAGCTCAAGAAAAGAAAAATTAAAATCTCTAATATTCTCAAATAATATTTGATCTCCACTGCTACGGTGATTCTACTATTGGTGAGGGTGGTCCAGAATAGACGGTTGACTTCTCTTGAACGTTGTAATCAGCAATTGTGAGGTTGTTATCTAGTATCTGACCGTTAATGATCAGACGTTGCTGTATCACTGGTATTTCATTCATGTCCAAAATCTTCGCCTTCACGTTGGCTATCGTATCTGAACTCTTTACCATCAGAGGAAGCTTTATTCCATCAAGGGTTATTATGAATATTTGTATCTACACCACAAGTGTCAACAAACTAATTATTAATAAACCACCAGAAAAATGGGTGAACATGATCAAAAGCTAGAATGTATATCTAAAAAGCAAGAGAAAATAATAACACTATTTTGGAAAGCAACCAAATTAATGCAAAGGATAAGTTAGAAGGTACCATTGGAGTTATGCAAATTTCTATATCAACCTGCTCGGAAGAAACAAAAAACCAAAATGGAATCAAGAGGAACTCTGATGAAATAGTTGGTAAAGTAATCTTCTGAACCCTCTTAGTAAAAGAATGTAATTTCAGCACACTGCATATCTTAGACATAGCCATTATATCATAACAATACACAGCATCAGAAGAGTCAGGATCAATGCAGTTAATATTGACTGCATTTCCCATACTCATAGAACTATTATTGAGAATAAACAGCTTGCCATCATTTTCCTCTTGTAGAACAATGGTTTCATCACTAGACTTCAAGGAGACCGTGAAGGAGTGACCATAGGAAAATTTGATTAGAGCATCTTCATGTTCATGGCTGAAATGGTTAGACAACACTTCAGATGATGCAACAAAGTCACAACCCGGATGTGGACAGTAACATGGCGCGTAGATGCATTCTTCCTCATGCTCTTTGTTTCCCCCGTGACTTATTTTCTCTCTACAGCCATGTTTTTCATTCTTGCATGATATTTCGAGAGACCGCAACAGATTGTCAATGGCTATACAAGGGTAGAAGCTAATACGATCTGGGCAGATGTGACACTCATTCCAAAGCTTACAACAGCATGAAGAGCAAACAATATGGCCGTTATCACACTGAATTGCAAGATAAAAGAAAGTCATTCAATTAGAGATTGAATCATTTACATTTACTAGAATAAAATAATTTTTTTAAATATATACCTGATATACTGGAACAGTCAAGGTTTCAAAACAAACGCAGCAATCAAAAGCATAAGGGTCGGAAAAAACCAGAGAAAGGGAGCTATCCTGATTTATATCTTTTGCAGAATCAACAAGGACTTTGGAACATGGCTCCATTACACAGTTTGGCTAATAATAGTAAAACAAGTTACAACTTTATTATATGATCAAATATTAAGTTAAGAGAACTACATTACTTATAGTCTCCATAGGTTTTGAATTTTGGTCTTCCGTGATCCTACTTTGCTTTCATTGGTTTCGACCCTTACAGATTCCTTTCCTCCGTTTTGACACGCATATTAAAATGGTTTAATTAATGTTAACTAACTAATGCATCTCTTCATTTTTTTAAGTTTATTCATGTTCATCCATTCGTATTCTATTTAGTACCCAAAAAATGTGGATATGTCAGACTGGCACGACATTCTATATAGGCAAGGCACGGCACCGGCGAGGACACCGGCAAGGCACTACATTATATAGTCTTGAGAACTCTTATGATAAGTTCATGTATAGTAAAAAGTTACAATTTTTTTCACGTTTTAATATTTAAATATTAGATTTTAAATTTTTGAGGTAGTTTCATAAATGTATATCTAAAATAAGTTGAGAGGTGCATTCGGATGTGCATATCTGAAACTACGTTTTCTATATTAGAATGTCCTATGGTCATTCGTTTCAACTATTTCATTCATTTTCTTTCTTTCCATAACCAAAACTCTCAACAAAACTTCAATCATTCTCAATAAAATTTTCGTTTGCAAATCAAGTTTCAAATGTTTGAGTATAACAAAGAGAGCATAGAAAGTTGCAATTTGAGGTAAACTTCCATCATTTCATCATACATTTCCTGCATTGATGCTTAGTTGTGAAAAAAAAAAAGCATTGTTGCTTCGGATATGCATATTCGAATTCAACCTATCATAATTTGGATGTGCATATCCGAAAACATGTCGATTATAGAACCAGAATTCTGTTTTAACAAAATTTATATTTTTTTTTTGCTGTGTTAGGGTATGGTGCACCCTGACAATATTCGCATAGCTGTCGTAAAGGTTCTGGACAAGGTCAATGAAGATGCTAAGCCGAATGATGTGAAATACATTGATGAAGCTTGAGAGAGAGAATCAAATAGGGAGAAGTCGAAGAAAGAACTGGTTTTAGATTTAAGCAGTGACAATTTGTTCGGTGCATTTTAGAATATAATCAAACCATTTTTTGAATGTATTGTCGTACACATTATAAAATTTATACGTTTCAATACATATATAACATATTATCTATATTTAATTTCACAATTGTTTATTTTTTCCATGTCTCTTTAGTACAAATAATGACGCTTCTCCCGATTCTGCATAATTCAGATATGCACTTCTGAATTAACCTTCAATTAAAAAAAACATAGGACTTATTTCGGATATGAACTTCTGAATTCACCTCCTATTTTTATTAAAAAAACGTGGCATTTTCGGATGTGAAAATCCGAAAACCCCTTATTTTGGTAAAAAAAAAAAGAGGTTAATTCCGATGTTCATATCTGAAATATGTCTGGATAAGATTTCTTTGGTCCAAATTGCTCCAAAAAGATTATAAATTGGGTCTCAAAACCATTTCATTCTCCATCGCAAACCACAACCAGAAATAACACAAACATATTCACACATTGCTTTTGTCTAAATTAGTCGTACGCAGTCGCCACTTTAATTTAGGTTCTCGCAGGACACGTCGTTCGCCGAGCTCATTACCATACTGCATTCTCTCTTGCAATGTCCATAGAATTGAAGGTGGTCAAGCCTGAGTATCGCTCACCTTCACTCGACACTGAAGGAAACGTAAAGTTCACCCCGTTTGAGCTCAAAAACGACGACGATTTAGAGGTTATGTGGAGAACTTTTCAATGATACTCTTCTAAGGGTCCAATTGAGATGGATGCGAAGCTTCAAAGATCGGCAGAAGATGTTATCAAGATGTCGCAATGTCCTCAACTACCCGTTTATAACAATATGTAATTTTAAATTTCTGCAGAACCATTTATGTAATTTCTTTGAATAATGTTGAATCAATGTTATGAATTATATTAAATTATATTGAATTATGTTGATTGTTTTATTCCAAAGATAAATTCGGATATGCATATCCGGAATAGACCATCAGGTGAATTTAGATATGCATATCTGAAGTAAATTTAATAAAAAAGGTTGGTGGTGCATTCAAATATGCATATTCGAATTCCGGGGGTATTTTAGATTTTTCGCCAGAGATCTGGAAGAAGAGTACTGGGTGTAAAGAGAAACTCTCTTTGATTAAGTAGAATTTGGGCTTGTAAAGTGAGTTGTAGACCACCTATTTTGTTCCTATTTATTACTTTGTACCAATTTATAAGGGAGTATTTGTTTTCTCTTCTAATTTAATACTCCTTATGTCCCATATTATTTGTCGCAATTGACCATTTAACACTCTAGCATTAGAGAATGACTTGAGAGATAAAGAAAAGTATTAAAGAGAGAAAACACTGCAATGGAATGAAGAGAAGTGTTAAAAGAGGAAAACCTGTAAGGGAGTGAAGAGAGATAAGGTCAGAAGCAAACAATTTTGCACAACGGCGACTATAATTACTTGAGCATGGTCATGAAGAATCTCCTTTGATTCAAACAATTTTAGATTGCTGTCGAATTGGGCTACTCACGACCTCAGAGTGTGTAAGGGATAACAATAACACAAAAGTAGAACTTAGAGGAGATGAAGCTAAAGGATTTGAAGGCTAGAAGTTACTTATTTCAAAAGGACACATCTAAATAACTCTGATACTCCATGGAGATGAAATGTCAAGGAAATGCTTGAGTGAAGAGAGCTAAACTCAACCGTGTACGGATGAGTTTTTGTTGAGAATATAACAAGTGTGATAAATAGTCCCACATTGGATAGGAATATGGTGACTTGAGCATTTATAATTGGGAGAACCCACTCACCTATCACCTTAAAGTTTTAAGTGGATATGTAGTATGTCTCCCACAAAGGTGTGTTGCTTAAATGGAAAGTACTGAAAATAAGAATACTCATCGCTCGACACACCCCCCCTCCTCATAGTTGCGCTAACAACTTTTATAACAATGAAGGAAGATGAATCGGTCATTGATTACCTTTTTGAGAAATGACAGTTGAGAAACAACATGAAAATAAGAATGTTCATCGCTCGACCCCCCTCATTGTTGTGCTAACAGTTTCAAGGTTCTGACAATGAAGCAAGATAAATCAATCATTGATTACCTTTTTGAGTAATGACAATTGAGAAACAACATGAAAAATTACGAGGAAGGGAGTGATGTTAAGATCGTTGAGAAGATTTATAGAATCCTTACCGATAAATGAAATTACATTATTTGGTTCATTGAAGAAGCCAAGGATATACATCAGCTATATATGTGAATGCGTTACAAAGTTATTTGCTCGTTCATGAGCAAAAGTTCAAAGTAGATGAATAAGAGCATGCTTTAAAGGTTGTTTGTGAAGAGAACTATGATTGTGTTTACTGGAAATTTTAGTAAACAAAGACAAGTTTGATTTCACGTAAGGGATTAAACTCGAAAATATCTCAGGAAAAATTATGCAAAAATTATAGATTTGAAACATATTTGACAGTGAATGTCGAAATAAAAATGAAAATTGAATGCACTAAATAAAACAATGAAAGTAAAGGAAATTGAATTTATAAATGGAACGCAAATGCAAACATTGATTCAGATCACTCATTTCTCGCTAACATTTGGATACTTTGAATATACATAATTTGTGTAGAATTGTGGACCCCTAATCCTACAAACAAAAACTACTTATATACTAGTTATAATGTAAATGCCATCAATGGTCGACTAAACAACATTTGACATGTCTTTGTCTCCATGCAAATCCTGCCTTTTGACAAGCTTACACGTATCCTCCAATAACTGTTTGATCTTATTCGTTTGTGTCTTGCTTTGACAAACTTGCATCAATAGCAGTAGCATCAAATTGAAAGTTCTCCAATTTTTACTAAGTCCCAAGACTCGAGCATATCTTGTCGTCGACAGAAGCCTCGTTGATATTTTCCTTTCGAACAAAATTCTAACTATATGGTCGAATATGACATACTCAAATGTAGTGCAACTCAAGTCAATTTTATTATGGCTGTAAGATTATCTTTAATGCTTCCATTCTGCTTATATGCCTTCAGCATTTGAAAAGTGGGCCATCGACTTGAGGTTTATGGACGTGCCCTCACGCGTATTTCGATTAGCCCCTCCCTAAAATAAGGAATGTCTTGCATGGCTAAACAAAGTATAAATCCAAAAACAAGGACAATGGGAAAAATTAGGCATCTTCGACCTTATCAAAATCTCTAGGAGTGGCCCAACATACAACCATTGCATGTTTCTTACCTCGATTATCTTATGGGAAGGATCAAAAAAATATTTTCCAGCTTCCTTGTGGAATGATTACACCGAATCTATTCGACATAGCAGCCATTGTTGGACTTCGACCCATGGGAGAGACCTTCGATCCTACTTTGGAAACCCAAACTAATGTCGATTTTGACTTCGACCGTGTTGGATTTGAAAACTACATTGCTGACCACCACGACAAAACAACTAAGGAAGTTTCTGACCTGTAACACTTTTTTTTCTGACCCTCTGGCTTTCTTACTTCTTCTTCTTATTCTTCTTCTTATGTTTAAGCTCTTTACAAAATGCTCAAACCAAAACTATTGGATTTTGAGTGAAGTGTGTGTGACCCCTATCTTTGGTGGTGGTATGATAATAAAAAATGCAAATAAAAAACATATGCACACACAATATAAGGAATTTGGATGAGAGATGCTAAAAATGAGACAAGTAGAAACCGCGGCAGATTTTTGTATATAAGGTGGTGGATTTTGAATGAGAATCAAGAGAGAATTTTGAAGGAAAGAGAGTAAATAATTTGTATTTGATAGCTTTTATAACAAAATGATGATGGTGGGACGGATTTTGACCGAAAATTTTGGTTCATGAATCTAAAGGATTAGGAATGAAAGAGGAAGATGAAATAGCAAAAATAAATCCTCACCTGGGTACATGTTTCGCCCTAAGTGGATTACGTGT